GTGCATCTATATCTACTACTTGCATGAACCACATTTCTTTTGATATCCAGTGTTGCTGCTAACCGTTGTCTTCGGGAAGTAAAACACACCTTTATTTCTACCTTGCATACATGGTCAGTTATTGACTCTGGTAAATCAGCTGTTGCCGTAGCATCAAGCAAACATGTTACGTGCGGGACCGCAGAACAGCAGCTGGATGAGCAGGGTCTAACTCATGGTTGCATAGCAGCTTTTTGCTGCTGGATGCCTAAATGATCGCTCCTGGAGCACAGCGTGCAGAAGCAAGCGCCTGGTTCATCTAATGTCCTGCACCAGCTCCTAAATAGCTCGCCATCTCACCCCGTCTCCTCCAGCCATGCCCAGCGCCTTTTATGTTTGAAACCCTTATCTATGGTGGTGACATCTTCCCCGGAGTTCATGATCTGCACTGTTCTGTTCTCTCCATCGTCCTTCTCTCCAAACTCAAAGTTTGAATTTATTTATTTTTTGACTTTTTTACATGTCATATTTCTCTAAAACGCCATCAGAACACTTATAATATTAAGTGGTTACCCACTGAGAGAGAGCAGCTTCACTGATCTAAGATAAATCAGATATCTGAGTGTTTATCTGATCACCCAGTGATCAGGCTCACTTTTAATCACAACAGTTTTTAATCGATGCTCTGCTATTACTCTTTTTTTCTTATTAAATAATTCTCATTGTTGGTTATTATGATGTAGGGAACAGAGATCATTAGATCACTGACACACAGCAAAGGCTTAATATCAGTCTGTCCTTCACTGAAGGACATAAATACTTCCAGAAAGCAAAAGTAAACTGATGAACATTAAATCATGTGTCTCTGCAATCACTCCTGGCTGTATGGATCTGCAAACTTTATTGGATTCCCTGCAGAAAAGCAGCCATCAGTGAGGGACCCACCTGGCTGCTGTGATGCAGGCTGGGTTTGTTCTCCTGAAGATGGCTCTGCCTTGGCTTCCAGGTGGCGAGCGGTGCACGGCGCTCACCACCTGGCTGAGCCATGACTGGTGCATGCTGTCCATCATCCTGTCCGCCTCGTCGATTATCTGAGAGGAAAACGTGAATGTCAGATAAAGGAGTGCTGCCTTTTCACATCGATGGTAACAGCCTTAGTGCTTACCAGAAAGCGTAGATGATCCAGACATAATCCTGAGCTTTTGTTGATGAGATCGACCAGTCTACCAGGAGTAGCAACAACTATGTCTGCCGTAGTGCGCCTGACACTCCCTCTGAAACATAACATGGATCCATCAGTGCAGGGAATCCAGCTGAAGCCATTCCTACAACACTTATTAAAAGCAACCTGACTGATCACACATAACCATTTTTAAAACGTCAAAATGGTCGTTATATGAAAGCAGTGGAGAGTCTGAGCTCTGCCTCAGTCATCTGATGGGGTAAGAGCATCGGAGCGAATGACTGAAAGAAGCTCAACCAGCTGATAAAGGAGGACGGCTCTGCTCTAGAAACTCCTCTAGAACCTCTGGAGGTGATTTCATAGAAAAGAATTCCTCATAAAGTGAATTAGATGATGGGCAACAGTGATCATCCTCATTACCAGACTGGCAAACAACAAAACCATCTAGAAATAAGCAGAAATGTCTTAAATTTAGTGTATTTACCCTTCATTTCAGTAGATAAATAAGATGATCTGACAATAGAATGAGTGTTTTTACTCTTAAAATAAGACAATTAAATAATATTCATTTGAAAAAAGACAATTAAATTATTTATAATTACTTATAATTATAAGTGTCTCATTTTTTGCTCAATTCAAGAACAAATGACTTTTGCCCCGCCTCTCATCCATAGACTGCTGGAGAAACGGCCCCACCATGACCCTGACAAGGACTAAATGGGAGCTGGATGGACGGACGGACGGATGGATGGATGGGCGGAGTGTGGAAGGCTAGAGCCCTATAGATCCTTCTCCTCTATATCTATGATCTAAAGCGGTAGATTGGGAAGTGAATGAAATGAGCTTCCCAGCTTAGAGACGGTTTCTCTTCTCTGAGCTGCTGCCTTTGTTCTTCCTCACCTTTGCTCTGACAGTGACGCGCTCTCTGCAGCCAGTGACCTCTGACCCACCAGCAGCGCCACCCTGAGGGGCGTTCCTTCAGCATACGATGCAAACACTCTGTAAACCTGAAGCAGACAATAATAATTACAGGAATCTTTTGTCCCTGAGGTTGAATCTTCTGCACTGAACTCCTCCCTGCAGGATCCAGGGAAGCACACAGTCCTGTTCTGACCTGCTGGGCCAGCTCTTTGGTTGGAAGCACCGCCAGAGCCCGGATTTCACACACCACCCGCTCCATCAGCGCCTGTCAGAGAACAAACATGTCACTGGCAGAGCTGCAGCGGGTGAGGAAGGCTTCCTCAGAGCATCACTCAGATGTCGGCTGCTCACCTGGATCACAGGTATGACAAATGAGAGCGTCTTGCCGCTGCCTGTGGGAGCGGACACACAGATATCCCTGGGTCTGTGACCTCCTCTACCCATCAGTAGGCCATGTTTAGCTCCGTCCAAGATGGCCGGGATCACCTCTGCCTGCACTGACATGGGAACAAAGCACCTATTTAACTTCAGGTGTATTCACCGCTTCATTTCACCCTCCTCTGTTACAGTATTTTAGATAATAGATCACTGAGCTGGTGAGTTTAAATAAGATTATGATGTATTAGATAAACCAGTTAATGAATCCTTAAAGTCGCAGGCATCTTTTATTGATTCCAAAGAGTAAATTCTCCTGATTCCTGTCNGGATGGATGGGCGGAGTGTGGAAGGCTAGAGCCCTATAGATCCTTCTCCTCTATATCTATGATCTAAAGCGGTAGATTGGGAAGTGAATGAAATGAGCTTCCCAGCTTAGAGACGGTTTCTCTTCTCTGAGCTGCTGCCTTTGTTCTTCCTCACCTTTGCTCTGACAGTGACGCGCTCTCTGCAGCCAGTGACCTCTGACCCACCAGCAGCGCCACCCTGAGGGGCGTTCCTTCAGCATACGATGCAAACACTCTGTAAACCTGAAGCAGACAATAATAATTACAGGAATCTTTTGTCCCTGAGGTTGAATCTTCTGCACTGAACTCCTCCCTGCAGGATCCAGGGAAGCACACAGTCCTGTTCTGACCTGCTGGGCCAGCTCTTTGGTTGGAAGCACCGCCAGAGCCCGGATTTCACACACCACCCGCTCCATCAGCGCCTGTCAGAGAACAAACATGTCACTGGCAGAGCTGCAGCGGGTGAGGAAGGCTTCCTCAGAGCATCACTCAGATGTCGGCTGCTCACCTGGATCACAGGTATGACAAATGAGAGCGTCTTGCCGCTGCCTGTGGGAGCGGACACACAGATATCCCTGGGTCTGTGACCTCCTCTACCCATCAGTAGGCCATGTTTAGCTCCGTCCAAGATGGCCGGGATCACCTCTGCCTGCACTGACATGGGAACAAAGCACCTATTTAACTTCAGGTGTATTCACCGCTTCATTTCACCCTCCTCTGTTACAGTATTTTAGATAATAGATCACTGAGCTGGTGAGTTTAAATAAGATTATGATGTATTAGATAAACCAGTTAATGAATCCTTAAAGTCGCAGGCATCTTTTATTGATTCCAAAGAGTAAATTCTCCTGATTCCTGTCGCACTGGTGACATCATCAATGCTAACCGAGTGTGATGATGTCACCAGACACACAGTGGCGGGGGGCAGAGGCCATGCAGCAGCCAGCGAGGGGTTAGACCAGCTTTTATTATCCTGTTAGAAGGGAGCTAAATGCTGGTTGAAAGCGAATGGAGCCATATTTGAAACACACGAGTTAACCTGCTACTTTCAGAGGGAAAGAGGCTGTAGAGTTGCTGCAGCTCGGTTCATTGATCTGTAATCATTTGGGCTTCATCCACACCAAGCTGTGGAGCTCTATACTATAGTCTGACATCTGTTACCATCTGCCTTTCTGGTAGTTCTGTGGCACTGCCAGCAGATGGCGCTGCGTCTGTTTATGTCTGCTTATGTCGCTTGATGCTGGAATTCTGTTTTTATAAAACACGTGTTAACCTGCTATTATCAGGTGGAAAGCAGCTTCAATAAAGCTGGGCTTTAAGTATGAATGATCCCTGCTCCCTGGGCCGTGCTGCCCTGCAGGTCTTGGATGTTTCCCAGCTTTCACACACCTGATATTGATTTATAGCAGATGAACAGCTTGGTTGAACTGCTATCATCTAAATCAGGTGTGTTGAAGCAGAGAAACATCTAAAACATGCAGGGCAGCACGGGGTAAAAAACACTGGTCAGGACGTGTCCCGTGTCCCAGTGCTCTGACGCCAAGCAGCAGCACAGAGCTCTAAAAACATCCTTTAGACCCTTTAGCAGGAAGTTTGAAGCCCTCTGAAGCTAAGGCTACGTTCACACCGCAGGCCTGATGCTCAATTCTACATTTTGTAAAATCTTTTTTTATGCGTTGCCGTTCACCTTTTCAAATATACGTGGCTTGTTTGTGATCTGCTGTGTGAACCACATTCATACAGCGTAAGTGTCCCGCAGGCGCGTTACTACCATCCATGTTTACTGAGGTAAGCATGGTTGGTAGCGCTGGAGAGCATACAGCGATCTTTCCCAACCATAAAAACTCAATCATTTCAAGATGGTTAAACATAAATACTGCTCTACATGCAGCTGCATTATCGTCCGCCATGGTTGTTTTTGCCATTCAGGTCGGATGAATGCAACCTGGCCGCTCAGACACAGGTTGCATTTTAAAGATCGGATTCAGGACCACATAGCCAAGTGGCCTGGGTCGCATTGGAAAAAATCAGATCTGTGTTGTTCAGAATGCCATGAAAACATCAGATCCATGTCACATGTGGGCACAAAAAAAAATCAGATTTGGGTGACTTCAGGCTGCTAGGTGAACGTAGCCTTAGAGCAGCACCGCTCCATCAGATGCTGAGATCCTGCTGTCAGTTAGCTCATGTCTATCATCATTCTTTAGTCTCCTGATACAGCGGCTAGAGAAGAGCTCAAACATGGAGGAGGAATACGTGCTGAACTGGATCTGCTAACAGAGCAGCTGGAGCTAAACCTGCAGGGTGAGGGTGGATCAGTGGGAACCGGCCCAAACACTGCCTCCCCTCTCCACCCTGAACGGGGTTTGGACTGTGGACCGGTTCCCAGGATCCAGGCTCTCTGGTATCCTGAGGTGGTCCTCACATAGACTGGACCTCCTGCTGCACCTCAGGAG